ATATAAAATAAGTTAAAATAATAAAATTAATAAAAACAGTTTATTAATATATAAATAACAGTTGGATGTAAAAAAGTGAAAAAGAGATTGGAAGTGTTAATAATTAAAGTAAATCACAGTTGGATGTAAAAAAGTGAAAAAGAGATTAGAAGTGTTAATAATTAAAGTAAATCATTTCATTCATTACAAATTTTTTCCTCGAAAATTGGAGGAGAGTCGGACCGTACAAGCGACCTTAAGAAAGGGATCGCCTTGGAAGGCAGATTCTTTCAAAAGTAAAGTAAAAACAAGCCAAATGCATGACCATTTTTAAGATAACAACCACTTTAAGCTTGGCGTATAAATTTTCTATAAAAGAATAATAGTATTCACACGCTTTGTGAAGTAAAGGCGAAGTAAGTAACTCCGGAAATTTGTCAAAACAGATTTTATTCTGGGAATCTAAATTATAGAAAAGGAAAATTATAATTTTTTTTTTAATTTTTTTGAACTAACGAATATTCCCTTCTGCTTTACACTGGCGATCAAGTAAAGTGGCCGCTTCCTTTTTCTCTTTGCTAGCATTTTCTTGCAATAATTTACTTTTCCTTAAGGAACTGGAAAGAAGCGGTACGTGATGATAAACAATAAAGTAAAACTTTTGAAGGGCTAAGAATATAATTATAAAAATCTCAGGTCAAAAGTCTGCATTCCTAGTATTAATATTTACTTTCAAGAAAACTTAACACCGATAATTCGTACTCCATAGTAAACTGATCTGAATGAACTTTTTCAAAGAAGCTCTCTATAAGTTCATTACGAAATGGTGAAACTTTAACTTCCTAAATTAAAAATTAGTAAAATTTCAAAATTTTATTAAAAATTATTTACCTCGTAATTATTGTTAGATCCGGTATTTGGTTTTATAAATAAAACGTTAAAAAAGGAATTTCTGTAAATTTTATTGTTTAAAAAGACGTCCAGCCAAACTGTTTTTTTTAATAAAAAAGTAAACTATATATGCTATAATATTATTATCCCAGTATTTTCCGAACAAGCCTTTTTTTTATATTAATAAATAAAACTCTAGTAATTTTTAAGTTTAACCTATAAGCTTTTTTAAGTCCACAAGCAAAGGATACATTCTGCTATAACGGGACCGGCCTTTAAAGGTTACACTCGAACAGCGTTTGAGTGTAAAGAAATAACAACTTTTTATTGCAAAGATTTCGTGGTGCAAATTTAGTAAGATGTCAATTGTGATTTGTCATTGAACAACAATAAGCCCGATTTAGCTTGAAAAAAGAGTGTACTTGCTTTTTTAAAACCGAAAAATTGTTTACAATAATTTAAAAATGTATAATTATGTTTCAAGGTTGAGGATTTGTTAGATCCTACTTCGTTTATTACCAAAAATAAATTACTCCTTTTATAAAATTGCTTTATACGATTGTTACCTTTATATTTTTCGAATTGTGTCGCAAGTTATTTTTGCCTAGTAGTCTCTATTTTAAATTTAAAACTCGAATACTACTTATTTGTTAGCGATCTTGAATGACGGAGTTAAAACTTAATTCTGTTTACTAGATGGTGTACTACTTTATATTTACTCTCCATTACAAAACTCTACTGTAGACTAAGTATTACTTTAAATTCAAAAAATTAGGAAATTACTTTATTTTTTATAAAAGTTAGTTTTAAATTGTGAAAATAATACCGGCTAGTTGATTTTTTTTTTGAGTTTCGTACTGAAAATTTATATGCCCGTTTCTTATGACATTATCCTAGTATTTTTTCTTATATAATTTAATAAATACTAATAACCTATACAATTATTATGTACTACAAAATAGAGAAAAAGTTTTTTTATATATGTTATGATAAAAAGTACTTAGTTAAAAAAAATATTAAAGCTTTCAAATTTAATATTGGCGTAATATAAGCAAACTTCTCTTAGACCGTTTTTCGCAAAGTCAGTCTATATAAAGTATTAAACGTGCTGCTGCAAAAAACATTGAAGTAAGCTCACTTAAGTATTTATTAAGTTCTGTAAATAACGCTATGAATTACGTAATGCACCACAGAAATGGCACAGAAATACTAGCAAACAAGTGCATAAAAATTTATTTCCGGTATAAAAAATTTGATAAATCCAAAGTAACTAACCTTTTAAGCAGCAGACCACCCGGGAGCTGTAAATAAAGCTAGTAAAAAGGCTTTTTTAAAATACTTTTTAATCTTTTTTCCTTATAAAGTTTATTATAGAGAAGTTAATATAACGTAGAACCACTGGATTTTCTGTACAATAGTTCAGTTCAGTTATTATTACTTTAAAATCAGCATCTACTACTAAGAAAAACGATTATAAATACTTAAAAGAACTTTAAAAAGCAAAATTTATTATATTATACTGCAGGCTAACTAACGAAACATGCTTAATATATATTATTTCTTGGTGTACGATGGGGTTGTAAAGAAAACCCCGAATTTAGGAGCTCTCAAAAGGGTAAAAGTGTACACATTAGCTTTAAGCTTGTATCAAAGCAACTTCATACACATATATATCAATAATTTTCCCTCTAACTCATGTTCTATACTAAGAGTGGCTACGCCAAAAAATAGCTGTGGGTGAAATAGTGCTTAGAAAACAACCGCCATAATGTAGCGCAAGGACAAAATAGCGCACGGCATAATATTATTTATTTACGAAGTTGACATACTACGGCCAGGTCAAAATTAGAAGAGGCCTAAAATTCTGCTTAATCTTACTTACGAATTAGAAAAGAAGCCCTCTACGCCAGAAAGGCAGTTAGGGTGGTGAGAAGGTAGTGTGGGCTCCTATAACGTGTACTTACTCCCGTCACAGGTTATGTCTTGAACAGTAAATCGTTGGGACGAGTGAAACATTTATCATAGCTCTCCGCGCTAATGAGAAGGAATTATTCAGAAAGTGTTCCAACTTCAAGTCACCAGGCAAGTGTGCACCCCGCACAAACTATGGGGCGCCTGTAATTATTCGCAATAGTCGATTTTGCACCGCTTGAAGTCGCTTTATGTTTAGTTGACTGCCATACGACCTCGCCACGGCTGCAAGAGTCAAAGCCGGTTGAATATTTGGAAACAAAGCTTAAGTTTGTTACTTATTGAGAAAGAACTCTTTCTACATAAGAGGGACTAAAAATCTTTGATTGATAGCCCCACGAGAAGTGCTTGCTGCTCGAAACACCCAAATACTAGACTTTCGTGTGCCAGATGCCAGCTTGAACTCAAAGCGTTATAATAGATGCTGTCGTTTTATGTCTCCAAATTATAAATATAGTTTTACTGTTAAGGGGGTTAATAGTGATTCGCCACTTACCAATCCGTACCTCAAGTGCGAAATATAAATTAGCACGCGTTTAAAGTGTTAGAGAAGGAAACTTGGAGCAGAGATAGGCAGCCGTATCGTCCGCAAACTGTGACAAAAAAGTGGAGGTATCCCCAGTTCTGGATATGCCCGACATGTATAAAGCAAAATAAGAGGGGAGGTAGCAGCGATACTTGTGGACTCTCGTAGCCAGTCCGTTTCAATATGAGCTAGCTTTTTACACTTTGACATAAAATGTCTTTTGGTAAAACAAACACCAGAGAAGCGAAAGAACATAATCTGGTACCTTCAGGATAAATAGTTTCATTGGATGCCCAGCGTGCCATACCCTGTCTAATACTTTATCGATATCTAATAATAATGCAGAGGTTGACTTGTCATTAAACCCTTTTATGGTGCGCTTGGAAAAACGCAAAAACTGCTGCATAGTAGAGTGACTCCTTTGGAATCCAAACTAAAACTCTTGTATATAACCAGTACTCTTCACAAACTTTCGCATGCATCGAAGTATATCAGCTTCAGCTATTTTGCCAATATATGGCAGAAGACTTAGTAGGGTAGTCTTTAGGATTTGAACAAGAACGCTTTAATTTAGGAATGCACATGACCACTACCGTTTTATTAAATTGTTAAAGAAATGTACCTGACTCAAAAGAATAATTAATAAGTGAATCTAAGACCGTTATTGATGTCTCGCACAAGTGTTTAGCATGTCGTTGGTTACGTTGTCAGAACCTGGAACTTTTTTAGTACACAGAAGGTTTATAGTCGTATCGGTATAATCGCAAGTAATATTTCGAAAATTGTTACTGCGAGTAGAGGTGTTTTCGGTTTTAGGCAGTGACTTAATAAACTTCGCACGAACACATCCCTTAACTTAGTCGTCATATATAATCGGTCTCCGTCTTAAGGACCGAAGGTTGAGGTTTCTTGCGATTTCTTATACATTAGAAAAATCGCCAGTAGGTTGTAGGGTTTCTCGAATTTTCAAGATGGGTAAGTTTTGAATCCCAAGGCAAATTAATGTGGCGCTTTTGACTTTTTTGACAAGTTTGTTAAGAATTTGTTCATCTTCGAGATCTCTGGAGGATAAGTATTTACGTCTTTACCGTCTTCTTAAGTTAAGGAGATATTCAATTTCCTCGGGTAAGCGTTCTTTATGCGGAGAAACCGACACTGTAACGGGAGCCGTTTAATGTGCTTAAGTATCTGTAGTCTCATAGCGGTTACCAAATCATTGAGGGTAACTGATGGTGCCAAAGTAATTGAATCCTCGATGACTGGCGTAATTACTTTAAATTTATTCCTTCCGTATACCTTCTTTTGTAATTCAAAGGCTAAACTCTTATAGGCCAATTTCGTAAAGCACGGGGAAGAGGACAGAGGAGAGATCCGCTATTGTGGTTAAGTTAGAGTCCATTCGTATTTTTTTGTAATAGCAATGTCAGGTACATCTAAGGTCCCTTTTGAAGTTATGTGTGTTGTTCTAAAGGACCGCGGAAACAAAAAATCCTCATATTTCAACGTAGTTTTACAGTTCAAGTCAATTAAGATTCCCACTTTACTACTTCCTAGAAGGCTCTTTGCATTTCATCCCCATTTAAGAATTACAGCATCGCGATGTTTAAAAATAATGGAGTTCTTTATTTCAAATATTTTTTGGAAGAGGAGCAATTACTGTCTGGGAGTATGACTCTGTTTTGCGATTTGTTGAGGACATGTGTTTGCGCAAGTGAGAATTTCTGGTGTAATAAGAACAACCTCGACTCTCCTTGCCAGTTAGCGCATTTCGGAGGGGCATCTGTGCCTTCGTGCAGCAGACAGCGGTAGCACTGGTCACTTATTTTCGAATATTTGATTCCTTCAACCGAAATTGAAAGATGACAAACTAAAGTTATTTTGTATATCGAGATCTCAGAGTTCGGCAAATGTCAAGCACTAAAAGAAGAGCTTTCCTTTCTTTCCGATACCTTTTCATATGAGCAATCTTTAGTGGGTAAAAACCTTGATTGCCTAAGTAATCCTTAACTGTGCTACAGGCAAATTCGGAAAAATTCCTCTCATCGTCATTATCAAAGGCCTATCCTCAGGAAGCCGATAACTGTAAAACCCGTTTACTTTCTGATAATAAATTTGTGGCCAGTCGAAGGTTATCAGAAGACACCAATATTCTAATGCCATTACGGATATTTTTAGATGAATAATTGGTACCGTTTCTTTCATGCAATTGGGAAACTACATCTGGTCACCGTTGTTTCTCAAAAATAAGCATTGGTGGGAGAATTTCTCTGTCTCCAGAAGGTTTCCAGCTGTTGATAGGTTGAGTTTACTGTTCTGTGGAGCGTAAATTTTAATAGTTAAATCACTCAATAGGCGGAAATTCGTTTATATTAGTGCTTCAGAATTTTAAAGGTAACCCTTTAAATAGGAAATGGGTAAAGGTTCAGGTTTGCAAAAGATCAAAATAGTCATTCGCATGATTTTGATTTACATCTTTAAAGTGACAGATTCTAGCTCGTTAAGTGCGTTTAGCGCTATTTTTAATTCTTTTTGAAGCTTTTCAGTTAACGTTAGTATCTCAGCGACCAGAAGGACCAAGAGTCACGACGTTGAGCAATATATAAAAGTAAATAGCAAAAATTAAAAATTAATAATTAATAACTTAAGTTTTCTAAAAAAGATAAAAAATATATATAAAGTGGTAGTTTAGACTTAGTATATATATAAAAATAGAGAAAGTTTTTGTTGCACAGTAATATATCTTCTAATAAGTAAAGTATATATAGCAACTCCATAGTAAAAAGT